GGAGATGGCCCACGTGCCAGGTGGGTCCTACGTGATTGCAGCCACGACACGAGGGGCGCTCGTGGTGACTCATGTGGGGCGGCAGGTGGAGGAGATCGTCACTGAAAATCCACGTATGTCCACATAGGACCCAGTTAGAAAGGACTTTGCAAACGACTATGATGAACAGATGTACAGGTTTCCCTGTAAGCTTTTTGATGTCCTATTTTTATTGTCCATCCATCTACATTACTGCTATTTCTAAAATGTGTGTTGTCACACACAAGGTACTGTGATGAGGTTGTGTGGTGACAGATGGCGGCCACCCTCACAGCAAGCACACCCGATGCCCAGACTTGTCCAATCACTGTTGTACAACTGACACTAACGTAACATCATGTGTCATTGACACAACACACTTTGTTAACTGGAAAAGGGGATCCTGACCTAACTCCATACTCAGGGAATTCCCTTGGAACACAGAAAAGGCACACAACCAGACCTAGCGACTCATAAAGTTACACAGTACACACCATTGCCGATTTGAGTGCAGTCAATCTTGCTAACCTGAAACTTTACTATTAGACTTTAGATACTCATATATTGGTGTATGTAAAATACTGGACTTTGGAAACTTAAATACAAAAATAGACTTGATAACTAATATAAATAAATATTCTGCCTCAAGCAGGTGTACTCTCAGAGGTGGACTTCATGGAGGTAACAGGCACTGTCTATGGCCCCAACACTCCCGTCTGTGATGGGGCTGGTGGGTGCCCTCCTGTGGGAGGTCAGGCCTGCATCTGGCCAAGGCAGGCAGCACATAAAAGGAGAAAACCGTTTACACTGCAGGCACTTTTCAACTACACACTCTCAGCAAAGTGGCCACTGACATAAGAAGTGCTCGTTACAACTCTGCACAGCTCACTCAGGTACGAACATCCATCCTGTGATCCAGGAATAAGGGACCACCCTCCCAAGACGGCCTCGTGCACACGAGGGCTTCCGATCGTGATCAATGGTCATAAACAAACAAAAGAAAGACCCAACGATGCTTCAGGAAGTACTGTTGCTCAATCCAAACTGCTCCAGATATTTTGATATTTGTGGTAAAGCATCTCTTACTAAGATAAAACAGAACAAGGTCACTGCCTGAACTATCTGCTACAAGCAGAAAGCACATATGTAGCAGGAAGCGTCCTTCGGGCTCCCCTTCCCCAGGTTTCTAAAGAACTCCCTATGTGTGGGGGTTACGACCCACCCGGAAGCAAAGGGGGTTGGTGGAGACGTGAATGGCAGGCGCCTCCAAGGAAAGCCACGACTGGTTTCCAAGTCACTGACTTCACTAGAAAGGGAGACCTGCCAACCTAAACATAGTATGAACACTCTGGAAGAGAAAAGCTCTTCTACATTTCTCCAGATCTTGCCAAAAAGCTAAACCTGAATCTGAACGTAACAGCTGTCCCAGTGGTGTCCACAGAGCGTCTGGGACCAGGCTCGTTTCTCAGCCGTGCTGCCCCACGTGCTGATGGCACAGAGGTGCCAGCCTCGTGGGGCTGCGGGACGAGGGCTGGTGGGTGAGGGCACATGCTCAGCGGTCCGCACGTCTCGGGGCTCAGCCCCCAGAGAATCAGGGGAAGGGCAGACAGGTGACGGCATAGGCAGGGGTGCGAGCCAGGACCAGGGGCCTGGCTCCTTCTACAAGTCACTGGCACGAAGTGGGTCTTGTCAACGAGAGAAGGTGGAAGGGCGGTCACTGCCACATGTGTTGAGCAGAGTGCGTTTAGAGCCGGATCTGAACAAATCAGGTATTAACAGGCCCTTCAGGCACCAGGGCAAATTCAAGTACATCCCTGGTACTGGAGGATACCACAGGGTTATTGAGGATACCACGGGATTATTAAGTTTGCATGACTGTCTGTGGCCCCATGAGAGAAGGGGTCACGTTTCAGTTTCAGAGATGCACGTAGACATTCTGAGGAAAGGCATCGGCATGTCAGGGCCCACAAGAAAATATTAGAGCACCAAACGCGGAGAAGGAAAAGGAGCAGACGGCACAGGCACGGTCGGACTCTGGTAACGCTGAGTGGGGTGGCATCGGGGGTATGTCTACTCCCTTTTCTGCTTTTGTGTATTTTGAAAACATTCTAAATAAAAAGCAAAAAATCAACTCTAGAAAATGAAGGCTCACCGGCGAAACAGAACTCCTTTACAGGAAGGCCCGGTAGAAGCTGTCGGAGAACAGCCTTTACTCGGAATCTGCAGGACAAGGGTGGTGTGATGAGGTCCTCCCCCACCCGCCCTGGCTGGCTCCAACCCACCCACGTGGGGCCTGCTGCCTAGGCACCCGAAACAGGACAACTCAGGTTCGCTGAGCCCAATGCCAGGCACTTTCATTAGGAGAGAGGCAGCCCTCATGACGACTACAGCCCAGGAAAAGCATTTTCCATGGAATACAGATTAACTCCTCGCTGCACAGACACAGGCAGGGTTTGTTTCTGAGTGACCCCAAGGGAAAGACAAAGTGTCTGGAACATGCTATTCTAACTTGTGGTTCCTACCTGTGCAACCCTACCACCTTCTCCCTCGCTCACACCGTCTCTTCACAGGTACTGGTCAGCCAACACGAACGACACTGCACCAGACTGCCTCCACGCTGGACACAGGCCAGGTCTCAGGAACAAGGGATAGGATAAGCGAGAAGGACCTGCAGGCCACAGTGATGAGACGGTGCCGCAGGTTTAAGGCAGGTACAGAAATGGAAAATCAACACATTTGGCAAAAAGCCTCTGCTGGTAATCCGGTGAATGCGGATGACAAAGACGGCCCCTGGCGAGAGGCCGCTGGCTGCTGGGCGTGTGCACAGGTACCCGCCAGGCGGAGGGTCCGCCATCCGCACACAGGGACAGACGGGAGGCCTGCAGTTACCAAGGGACGTTTAAGAAGCACAGCCTTTAACACGGCCTGTCTCTACTAGGTAAGACCAGAAAGGATAAGCTACGAAAGTCCGATCTGTGGAGTGGGCAGCAGCCCGGGCTTCACAGTGGCGCAGACCAAGGCACCTGCGAGTGTGCCCGTCTGGTGGGCACGGCCACCTCAGGCTGTCCATTCCCGTGGCCGTTCCATCTGCCTCAGAAACAGACACTACTAGAAAGGGCTGGCGCCCACGTACCACACGCAACCCGACCTGAAGGAAATGACACTCCCGAACGAAGAGTGAACATCTCAGCCCCTGACGTGTGTGGAGCTCCTGGGTGCTGCTGCTTTTTAGTGAACAGCCCCCCCATCAGTGTGAAGCAGAGAGCTCTGGTGAGAGCTTACGCACTTGAACTTTCAGGCAGATCGGTGTGTCCAGTTCTGCTTTTTCTGCAACCAAATATTTTATATCCCGATTAAGCCAGATGGAAGAAAGCAGTTCAAACTTACATTGCATTTTAAACCAAACTTCTCCAAGCCCACTATCTAAACACAGCACCATTTCTGGATCTAAAGTCAGTAGACAATGCCCTTGGCGCAGAGAGCGCTGCCGCAGGGCCAGGGACCCCGCCACGTGCAGCTGCAGGGCTGGGCAGGCAGGGGGCCTCGGCCTCCAGGGCCTTTCCCAGGAGCTGGGTTCTGCGGGGCTTACTGGAAATTCTGTGCGGGACCTGGACAAATCTCACCAGACTGCCGTCCTGATGAAGCTCAGGCAGCAAGCTTCATCTTAAAAAAGAAGCACCAGGCACAATGCACACTGCAGGAGAGACCAACGTGGACCAGAACCGCGTACCGTTCCAAAAGTGGGGCGCCAGTTTCTCGCTGAGTCAACGCGTATGCCAGAGATAAAGCTGCGAAGACTGACTCATCAGCCTCTAGGTGGAAATACTCATCTACTTTACGCCTTTTAACACACCATTCTAAGCAAAAGTTTTAATCCTTTGATATTCAGAACAGACTAAGCAGAAAACTAGAAAAAGAAGAACATCTAGCCTCGAACACAGACTCGCTGCCTAGGTGTAAAGCCACCAGTCTGAGCTCTCACCACACTGAGCGGGTGGGGGGTGACCCTGCAAGGGGGCCCAGGGCTGCTCAGGAAGGGTGTTTATCTACCCGCTCTCCTGGAGTCAAATTCTTTATGGTCTGCAGATCAAAAAGGACTCTCTCTCCACCTGTCTGTGCAAAAGGGTTGCTGAAAAAAAGGCTCATGTCTAGTGGGGCCCCGGCCTCGGCGCCCCACGAATCCGTGTCTGTGCTGCTGGAGTCCTCAGCGGTGGTGGGCGGGTAGCTGAGCTGCTCTAACTGGTCGATAATGTCTGAGAGCTGGAAGGCTGAGCTGGCCTCGGAGCGGACCGAGCAGGCTGGGAAGTTGGCCATGGAGCTGGCCTCGGACTGATTGGCCGAGCTGGGAGTGCGCACAGACAGGCCGCTGTGAAGCGGCAGGTTGCTGAGGGAGCTGTTCTCAGACTGGTTGTTCCTCAGCGAGCTGGTCTCCGAGGCGCTCAGCAGGCTCTGCATCAGGCTGGCTTGTGCCTTCACCTCAAACAGCTCTGAGGTGTCTGAGGGGTGCACGTTGCCACCAAAGCCATCCTCTCCCTCAAATTCAAAACCGTGCTCTACGTGCATGTGTATGACCCCCGGGGGGTACCTGTCTGGGCTGGAGGGGGTGGAGTTGGGGTGACCACAGGGAGGGGCCTGCGGGGCTAATGCACAGTAGGGGAAGGAAAATGCCTCCGAGCCTCCAGCAAAGAAAGAGATGTCTGCCGGGTCATCGTCTATGAACTCCTCAGACACCTGCAGCCGGGCATTTGTCAATGTGAAAACAGGCCCCCCCCCACCACCGCTGCCCTGCCGGCCATGTGGGTGCTCCCCCTTGGTGGGGGACAAACCCACGGTCAAGCCGCCGCCACCCCCGCGGTCACTTTTACCAGCAGCTCTACGCTCCCCGCCAGCACCCCCTGCATCTGGGTCTGTGGCAGTGTCGTGACTCTGCCCCACGGGGCGACTGGGGCTGCAACTCCTCACAACGTGACAAAACGCAACACCTTGACAAGGCTGCGGTGCAGGGGGCCCGGGGGACCGGGCCCGTCTGGTGTTGCCGTCGGCCGCTGCTGTGCTGCTCCCCTCTGCGGCTGGCCTCTTGGTGTCGGGAGCCTGGGGCTCGGTGAGGGAGCCACTGCTGTCTCTGAAATCAGGCAGGCCTCGCAGGGCCAGAGGGGAGGTAGGAACGGAATAGAAGGAGGCGTCTGCTGAAGACGGGGACGCAGAGGTCCTCAGGCCCTCGGTGAAGGAGACGCTCTGCGGGTCACAGATGAAGAGAAGAAAAGAGGCGCACATAAGATTACAAATCATTAGAAAGCTGCAAAGCTAACGGACCCAAGCTCGTACGTCTGCCTCTACTAAGAAGTGCGACCGACCAGACTTTCCCCATTAGAACTGAAGATTTGTAAACGTAGATAGGATTTCAGAAGGACCCAGGATCATCTGTTTAAAACCCCTCACAGTTTCATTTTTTCTCTTCTGCTGTAAGAGTGTCCCGTGCCACCCTGAGGTTGCAGGAGAGCGTGCTGGATACTCATCATTTCCGGGGCAGAGGACAGAGGGTGTGAGCCACTCCATTCAGCTAACGAGACTCCAAAGCAAAGCACCAATAAGGCGACACACACGGCTGCACATGACGCTCATTCCTCGGAGGTCATGGCCAGGCACTGATGAAGCGCGTCGGTAGTACGTTCACATGGGCACGCACGGCCGGGGACTCTGCCAGCGCCGGCAGCACAGGAGCCCGGGGCCTTCTGGAAGCACTGGCGTCGCCCCCAGCTCGCGTGAGCAGCTGCTCAGGGGCAGGAGGACCCTGTCCTCACTCACAGTCCCACACGCAAGGAGACGGGGTGAGCCCTCTCTTCTCCTTCTGTCACTGCTCACGTGCCACAAGACAGTCATGCCTCCAGGAAACTTCAGATGACGTATACACACACAACATCGTCAAGGGGGTGGTTAGACCAAGGTATCACCAGACAGTCCTGAATGATTTTCCGCGCAAGGAGCGGCATGCGATATGAGCGCAGCGGTAGAAGCCAAAGCAGTGACCGACCAGAAAGAAAATGGTAGCTTTCAGTCCACAGGTCAGTCTCTCACAGGTGTGCATCCCATCGCTTTTTCAATCATCCAACTGTACTCAACATGCTCTTGTGGTTTTTAAAAGACAGTATCAGAACTGAAAGTTTAAATGTAATTCTTAGACTATTATCTTTTTAATGTTTATTTTGAGACAGGGAAAGAGAGCACGAGTGGGGGAGGGGCAGAGAGAGAGGGAGAGAGAGGATCTCAAGCAGCCTCTACACTGTCAGCATGGAGCCTGATTCTGGCCTCAAAACCCTCAAACCTGAGATCATGACCTGGGCTGAAATCAAGAGTTGTACTGGATGCTCAATCAACTGAGCCACCCAGGCACCCCTATTCATACGATTTTATTCATTCATTTTTAATGTAGGCTGCAGCTCCAATGTGGGACTTGAATTCACAACCTTGAGATCAAGAGTCACACGCTCTTCTGACTGAGCCAGTCAGGTGCCCCCATTCATACTATTTCAAACTATTCAGGGGCACCTGAGTGGTTTAGTCAGTTAAGCTTCCGATTCTTTATTTCAGGTCTGATCGTGATCCCGCGGTTCATGGGATCGGCCCCTACATTGGGCTCTGTGCTGACAGCGCAAGGCCTGTCTGGGATTCTCTGCCTCCCTCTCTCTTTGCCCCTCCTGTGCTTGTGTGCTCTCTTTCTCTCAAAATAAATAAACTTTAAAAAAAATTAAAAAAAAGAAACCGTTCATAAATTTTAACTTTGTTTAAACAGAAGTCTTCTAATATCCATTGATTTAGCAAAAAATTCCTAAATGTGAAACGTACCTAGAAGAGTTAAGGAATGTTTTTATTTATTTATTTTTTTTTTTATTTTTATTTTTTAACGTTTACTTATTTTTTTGGGACAGAGAGAGACAGAGCATGAACGGGGGAGGGGCAGAGAGAGAGGGAGACACAGAATCAGAAACAGGCTCCAGGCTCTGAGCCATCAGCCCAGAGCCCGACGCGGGGCTGGAACTCGCGGACCTCGAGATCGTGACCTGAGCTGAAGTCGGACGCTTAACCGACTGCGCCACCCAGGCGCCCCAAGGAATGTTTTTATTTAAAAGATCCAATTAAACAAAGTTTGGGAAACACGAGCTTTGATACATGAGGTACAAGTGCAGCTTCTGGAAACACTATAACAATATAAATGACCAACTGTCAACAAAGACTAACATCGAACGGGAATAAAAACTTCTAAATGTGAAACTACGGAGCTGCACGAGGAGACAGTGACAGCATCACATGAAGAGAGCAAGAGTCTACATACAGTACATATGTGAGCCTGCAGACAGGAAGACTCTAGTCAAGCACACGGGAAGCACAGGACCAGCCACGTCCCCTCACGCCGGCTCTGCTAACACATTTTGGATTCTGTGGTCAAATGTCTTTCTGTGAAGCATTTGCACGTGCCTCTGGCTATGCCCATGCTTAGTATAGTAGTAATCACGCCAAACACGGATATAAATTTGTTTCCTGCTTTTCACCCTTAACATATTAGCAAAAAAAATCTCACTCTGTGAATATAGTTTAAGTAAATTAGCGTCCTAAGCTGGCATTTTACAGTTTCACGCTTTTATAAAGGTAACATTCAGTGTCTGTTTTCCTGACAAGCAAGGCTGAGCTTCCTGATAGGCAAGTAGTAGAACTTGCCTGGAACCCTGCCACCCAGAGACGACACGGGACACTTAGGTTTGTGCCTCTAGCCTGTCCTCTCTGTGCATCTGTCACTTTAGATTCATCACACAGGCTGCTCCGCAACCTGCTAGCTCCCATTGCCAACACATTGTGCGTGTGTCCCAGGCCGCACACCGCTCTCCTGCCCCGGGACTTGTGGCGGTTCCCGGGTACTCCCCATCGAATGGGCACACCTGAAACCAAAACCGTGCTAGTGAGTCACCTAGCACAGGCAGCGTTACAATGCCACCGTGGTGCGTCTCAGTGCACAAAGCTTTTTCCTTACTTAGGACTCCTTTTCTGCAAACAGCCCCCGGGCTGGGAGTGCCATGTAAACAACAGGACTGATTCTAAGAGTCCTGTTACAACACTGCCAGGTGATTCTGCAAAAGAGTACGGGTGATAATATCACGTATGTTTCAACCGGAAGGACTAACCTGTCTTGGCAAGTCTGCAGTCAGAGCACGAATAGACATCCGAGTCTTGCTGTGTCTTCTGCAAACAGAGAACAATCTGTGAGCCACCGAGCCTGCCTCTCCCAGCACCTGTTCTGAGGGCAGCCGTGCCCCGAGGAAGAGTGCACGTAAGAACGGGGCTAAGGTTCTGATAACATGCCACAGGCACCTGGCTAGAAACAGGCAGTGACAAAAAGCAGGAATTCAGATAAAACAGATGTCGCAGAAGAGGTAAAATTATCCCCTCACGCTGAAGAAAAATTCCACATGCAAAAAACCCATGCATTTTCAGATTCAAAGTTAAGCATACTATATAAAAACATTATATATAAGATACGCTATACAGATTAGAGGCTAAAAAGTAATTATCCGTATCTGCACAGAGTAACTATAGACAGATATTAATCCATTATTTAAAAAAAATAAGAGAAAGAGAACTCCAGTGTCAAAATACATGTTTACGTACTTGAGGTGACTACGTAAAGGTTAAAACTATGTAAAATATTAACTTTAAAAGCACATACTCTCCACCACAAAGACCATGGTGCTCACCTCTCATAGGGAACCCTCTTCACCCCACTGTCTCGGACATAATCCACCAGCTGCTTCTGAGTCCTTCCACTGTGAATAAAAGTTCAGATTTTAAAGGAAAGAATCGGCAGCAATTCACAGCATAAATTTTCCAGGAAGGCGAAATAGCACGTGCCAGCCCTCTAAGTTCCCAGAGACATTGTAAAGTTCTGTTTGTGATAAGCATAACTGATTTCGCAGTTTTTATCACAACTGTTTTTTCCACTATCTTACTGGATTTGCTCCCTCCAGTTTCACAGTAGCTGTGTTCTGCATGTAATTCTCTGAACCATTTCACAGTGCTTGCCTGCTGACCAGGGACATGCATACTCTCAGTCCTACAAAGCCGCCAGAGCCCCGTTGACACGTGGTGTGGCCCCACCTGTATCTGAAGGAGGAGCCCCTGCTGAAGAAGACAGCTTTAGCTCTGGGCTGAGGTTGATCAAAGAGTCTGAAGAAGGTGTGATACTCCACACAGATCTTCCAGAAGTTCTTACAGCCGTCTCTACTACCCAACAAGAACTCCAGTGTGTCCTGGTAAGGTCCCTAGAAACAAAACACAAAGGTTCCAGTAACTAATTCAAGAAGAAAATTTAGGCAGTACTCAGGCAACAGGCTTTTTATTCAAAGTTAAAAATTAGGAAGATATTTTTGGGAGACCTGGGTGACTCCATGGGTTGAGCGTCTGATCCTTGATTTTGGCTCAGGTCATGATGTCACGGTTCATGAAACAGAGTCCCGAGCTGGGCTCTGCGCTGACGGCACGGGACTCTCTCTCCCCCTCTCTCTGCCCCTCAAGTGCTCAAGTGCGAGTGCATGTGCACGCACTCCTGCTCAAACTTGGGGCGCCTGGGTGGCTCCGTTGGTTAAGTGTCCAACCTCAGCTCAGGTCATGATTTCATGGTTCGTGAGTTCAAGCCCCGCATCAGGCTCTGTGCTGACGGCTCGGAGCCTGGAGTCTGCTTCGGATTCTGTGTCTCCCTCTCTCTCTGCCCCTCCCCTGCTCACGGGCACATTCTCTCTCTCTCAAAAATAAAAATTTAAAATAAATAAATAAACTTGAAAAAACTCAGGAAGATTTTTATTCTGAATTATCTATAAAGACTTCTGGTGTCATTTATATTTAAGAGAAGAAATTTCACTGTAGAAATTACCAGAAAAATACAGTCACCCACGATCGCACAACTGCTAACATTTATAAGTGTATCCTTGCGACACATCCCACCCAGCAAACCAGGGCATTTTGTCTGTGAGGCAATTATTTATATGCTGTTGCCTGCAGAGTTTTGGGATGTGCTGGATGTCCTCACACACATCGCCTTAAAGAAACTACTGCCTTCTCTCATAACTACTCCTCAGGATAAGTTCCTAGAATTGTTACACTGAGCTTAAAACAATGCATATTAAAAAAAAATTATTTATTTACTTATGTAATCTCTACATCCAACACGGGGCTCAAAGTCATGACCTCGAGAACAAGAGTCACATGCTCTTCCGACTGAGCCAGCCAGGCGCCCCCACAATGCACATTTTTGAACCTCGTGACATATTACTAAATTATCTTCCAGAAAGACTATCCTACCCAGACTCCTGTATTCTGTCTTTAAAATCTAAGTGCTGACGGATACAAGCTGTAACTGCCATGGGCAGGTGCAGCCGCAGCCCTGAGCCTTGATGGAGTGTCACGCTGTGGCTCCAGCACACTGGGCAGGGACGCTCCTCTTTCCAACTTGTCCCAACAGCCCCAGAACCCTTTCTTTCACTCACGGAGAAAACGGCAGCCCTTTACCTGATTTTGTGTATGTTTTCAGCATCCTTATCCTTCCCTCCCATCCCTACAGCAGATACTTGAGTAAGAAACAAGCCTTCCTTCCTGGCTTCTACAGAAAGGAAACAGCCAGGCAGCCCAGGAACCTGCTGTTGGACAAAGGCTCTTGCTAATCAAGCGCCTTTTAAAAGCTTAAGTAGAGCCTTCTTCTCAGCTGGTTCAGGGCCTAAATCTCCCACCACTGGAAGCCAGTCTTCGCTGACACAGCCTCTTAGGCCTCAACCGCAGCGTTCGGCTAATCTACTCTCATTTCCTAACCTCCTTTGTACACTGGGAACGTACCAATGTGGACATCTTCGAATCGTTTCAAGTACTGGATTTTTCCTAACTATCACACTTATAGAGACATTTACTTTTTTCCATCTTTACCCATTTCAGTAAATTCATATGTAATTATTACTTTATTGACAGACAATCTCAAATGAAAGGAGTACTTATTTTCTGAAAATCAAGACTTCTCCATTTAGAGCACGTAAAAGGTCAATTTCTGAATCAAAGAGACAGGAGAATACTGGGAACATCCCTCAGCTTACTCGTGACAGAAGCTCTAATGCTAATGTGCTGTAGGCCTTCAGACCACAGCCTCCTTACCTAGAGAACAAAGAGGCTCAATAAACGGACTGTTCTCAGCAGCCCCTGGGAGCTTCTCTCTCTCACCCCAGACCCGGCTAAACCCGAAAGCCAGCTGGGAAGAGCTGTGTAAGTGGTCCCTGCCCAGAACGCTGGCCCATCCTCAGCGGCAGCCCTACAGGGCAGGTTACCTAGAAGCCCTTCCGCACAATTCCAGATCCCATCCTTAAACTCTTGTGTGCATGGCGCCAAAGTGCTTTATAATTTGAAAAGTCAATATTCTAGCAGAATAAATTTTCTTAAAATTTAGAAAGTGCTCAAAATCGTACTTACACGGACCTCTGGGTGCAGTTTGATGAGAAACCTTTTCCTCTTGAAGCTGAGTTTTCGGACTCTGGACCAGTTAAAAGTGTTAATTTTGGTGGTGCCCTGAAATCCATGAGATGCACACTCAGACACATTTATAATCCAGACAGACACACACATTTTTTCATGAAAAGAGAAGATTTTTTATTTTTTAATATAGATTTTTGAAAAAGAACACAACCGAGGAGGAGCGGAGAGGGAAGGTGGGGTGGGGAGGACCTCTGTCAGCACAGAGCCCAACGTGGGGCTTGAACTCACAAACTGTGAGATCATGACCTGAGCTGAAGTTGGATGCTCAACCGACCGTGCCACTCAAACGCCCGGAAACAGAGAAATGTTTAAATTACAAACTTACCAGATAGCACAACAACCCACTTGATACTTTACAATTATATTTGGAATGACTCTGAATTAATATGTCAACACTAAACATACAAATCTGCCTGTTTTAGGAAAAGTTGATGTTTTTGATACGGCTCTCCTACAAATTACTATTATTATTTTTTAAAGTATATTTACACACAGAGAGTGTGCGTGCACGTGAGTAAGCAGGAGGGGGCAGCGAGGGAGGAGAGAATCCCAAGCAGGTTCTGCGCTGTCCGCGCACGCAGAGCCAGACTCGAGGCTCGATCCCACCAACTGTGAGATAATGACCTGAGCCGAAACCAAGAGTGGGACACTTAACTGACTGAGCCACCGAGAAGCCCTCTCCGCTTTTAAAGTTTATTTATTTAGAGAAAGAGTGAGAAAGAGAGCAGAGACTTTCTAACTTTTAAACCTGAGCAGCCGGCAGCACTGCTCTCACACGGATTTGTATGCAATGACCCACGGTGTAATTAGAAACGTCAGGCAGGGCCTGAGACAGAACCCAGGCATTGTGGGCCCCATGCTCAAGCACTCCTGCTGGGACAGAAACCCCCCCACCCTCCCCAGCAGCTCTGACGCCCGCCCGGGGTGCCTGTGGGAGACCTGGCCTCTGAGCCCTCCCACACCCCTCGATGGCCGCTGAATTTTAAATTTGGTTTCCATACTATTGATCACGTGAATACAGCTCACAGGCTGAGCTATGGTGAATTCTAACTATATTTTGCTCCTTTCCTTTTCTTGACTTACTGAGTGCCTCTTTTCATTTACTCAATTCTCTATGTTCCCATCACCAATTCAGCCTAAACCATCCATGCAGAATTTAAACTCTTCGATGGGTCTGATCCACGAGACAATTTTCTCCCTGCTGCCTGCGCGCTGGCAGGTGCTCTCCGGGCCCCAGCCCCCAGCGTGAGGCCACCCCTGCCCCCCCGCCGCCATCCTGGTCTCTTTCGTCCTTTAAGGGGTGCTCAGCACTCACCCCTTTGCAAAACTGCGTGTCTGGAAAACTCTCTTATTTTCTCTGCACGGAAGTCCTGGGAAGTCCTGCTGGACGGGGCACAGGCCCTTGGGTGGGAACTGACTTACTTTCGTGTTCTGCACGACCGCCTGCCCGGTCGTCTTGTGGCTTCCAGTGTTGCCCCTGACGAGTCTGACACGCTTCCTGGTCTCTCCTCCTGGAAGCTCTCTGGTCCCATCCCCTACTATGACATTTCACGCCGGTGTGTTCTGTGGTGATCTTTCCTCGTGGGTTATACGAGGAACGTGTAGATGGTTCTAACATAGAAATTTGTGCATTCAGTTCTGGATATTTTCCCCAGGTAATTTCTTAAAGGCTCCCTCTGCTGCTTTGGGCTTCCTGGGTGCTGGGTGCTGGGCCTCCTGAGCTGTTCCCCGAATTTTCGCTCCCCTCCTCCACCTTCAGTCAAAGCCTCCTGGTGGAGATTCTGCCTCACTTTCATCTTCCAGTCCCATCCCGCCAACACCGCCCTCTCTGCCACCGCATCTCAGACCTGCAGGCGCTCCTGTTCTCCGTGTGTCCCTGTGACTGGACACTGCTCGTGTTTCAGAGATGAAGGTCCTCTCTGACTTCTGCAGGGCGTTCCAGAAAACGTAAGACAGTAACACGTCAACAAGGTTCAAACTCGCAGGCACCAGAATGTGTCCACAGGGAAAAGCCCCCTCACTGGCTCCCGGAACCCACAGCTGCCTTCCCCGTGGCCACGAATACCACCTGGTTCTTCTATGGCATAAATGGGGTGTAATTCTCCTTTTTCCCCACGGGCAGCAGCAAACCCCACACACACCTGTTGAGTCTTTGCTCACACAACAGGGACAGGGCGTCCGACAGAACGTCCCACGTGCCATGACACAGGAAGCCTCTACGTTCCTGTGCAGTTGCCTGATGCTCCACAGTATGGATGCACCAGCCTCCTGATGAATTACCAGTGTTTTACTGTTATAAATGACTAGACTAGAATTTCACATAACAAGATGAAAACTGTACATTCGGATTCCTATTCCTCATAAGCATCACCCAGCATAAAGCAATTTTCTATGTCTTGCCCATGGGACAGACAAAAGGTGGGGTCCTCTCTGAGGATTCTATGGGCTTTGTTTCTCCTCTTCCATCCCTGGCATAGGTTCTGTTTCTTCTGAACGGAGAGGATTTCGATCCCTGGTTAACTGAGTTTGAAAGTGAGGCCCAGGACTGCGGGAGCCTGTGACCATCTGGTTCAGTGGGTGTGAGATCTGGAGGGAAACAGGATAACTGAATGGTCTTAACATGGCTCTCCACAGATTGCTTATTAGTTGAAAGAGAAAAACCAGTAACTATAGTAACTGATAGCTAATAACCGGAAAGCAGCGATGAAGATTCACACCACCAGTGAGGCCAGGTGGTGTCTCTGTCGTGACCCCCTGAGAAGGACGTGACAATACCCGGGTAGGGAATGTGTCCAGCTGGGAATGTGTCCCCTGAACCTAATCCCAGGAAAACAGATGACAAACCACAAGTCAAGAACATCCTATTAAAGAGAAAAAGGACTGTGCTCTTCAATACTGTCAAGGCGGTAAAAGATAAAGAAAAAAAAAAATGTTCCAGCTTAAAGGACACTGCAGGCACGATCGCTAAGTGCTGCATCTGGTCCTCGACTGGGTCCCATCCTGGGGAGAACAGCAGCTGTGAGGACGCTGCCGGCTGACAAGACCAGAAAATGAACAGTGGATCAGCTGCGTCAGTGAGGAGGGTAAGGGAGCCCTTTCTTGTTAGAAATATGTGCCTTCAGTGGTCAAAGGCCCTCAAGTCTACAACTCACTCTCCAATGCTTCAGAGAAACCATCTGCAGGTGCACATGTGCGCGTGCATGTAGAGAGATGGGGGAGGAGAATGTGTGCTGGGGGAAGCACAAACCATAAAGCACACGTGAGAAATGCTGGAGCGCGTCAATCTGGGCAAAGGGCAAGTGGGGGCTCAATGTGCTGTTCTAATTCTTTACAGTTTTTCTCTAAGTTTGAAAGTATTTCCAAACGAAAGTCTTTACAAGAGGAGGCTCTCTGTGGGCTGGAGTAGGGACGCAGGCCTGTCACCACGGGGTGCCCCCGCATCAACAATTGAGAGAGTAATAGTGAATTCCATCTAACGTGGTTAATTTGAAGACTCTAATTTCTGGTTTTAACTTCTTCCAGTTACAAACTAGTTATCCTTTTCTGGAAAATGACACTGGCTGGATTCGGATGGATGTGATTTTCATCATGCACGATGGTAGAACTGTCATCTGAGTGAGCAGGTGTGGGAGGTCACGGGTCCACCAACTCACCGGGTGTGCCTGACACGATCATTGCCTGTCAGTCAGTGTACGATATAACACAATTAGCGTTCTGTTTACAAATTAATTTTTTTCCCAGTAGGCAATTGAAATTTGATGGCTAGGTTAAAAAAGGAAAGGGAAAGAAAGCAAGCGTAGCCTGACTACAGAGGCCTGGACTAGACAAGCCATTTTAGGCAAACACAGGTTAAAAAGAGCCCACAGATGGGGCACCTGGGTGGCTCAGTTGGTTAAGTGTCTGACTCTTGATTTCGGCTCAGATCATGATCTCACGGTTCATGAGATCAAGCCCCTCGTCGGGCAGGCTCTGTGCTGGCAGTGCAGAGCCTGCTTGGGATTCTCTCTCTCTGTCTCTCCACCCACCCCCTCAAAAGAAATAAATAAACTTAAAAAAAAAAAAAAAGAGCCCACAGAGTGGACTCCCTGGAGTCCCAGGATGCAGCCCTGGACTCCCAGGATGCAACCTTCCATGGCGGTCAGCAATGAGCAGGTCTCTGCAGGTCGGCTGCATGCACCTGGGCCACAGAGCCCGAGTGAGAGGATGCAGGGAGCCCTCCACCATGTCCAGGCACAAAGGGTCTGCGTTCCTCTGCTTCGGATGCTTCCACAGCAAAAACCCAAGCACACACATGTGTGACTGCAGGCAGAACTTAGTGGCCATTTTATGTCACTAATTACATATCCATACATAACTAATACACGAGTTCCTGAAGGCTGTACTGATGCTTATCACGTGCAACAGACTCTGATACTTTCCAGTCTATTTCATGTACTGAAATGACACCTCACAGAGCGTCACACCCAGACCTGCAGCAGGTCCACGCCTGAAGCGTGGAAGAGCCAATGTTTCTGCTGAAGGTTCTATGGACATGAACTGTGGCTCAGCATTAGAATGGTGGCATTTGACCGCGTGCCCTGGGGGGCAGAGGGCTCTGTGACAGCAAGGACAGGGAAAGAAGTGCTCCACGGGATGAGACCGGCACGCTAGGTTCCTCCGACCAGTCCAAGACCTTCAGTATCAGAACGAAAATTTACCAATACGTGTCAAATCAGCCCCCACCCAGTCCTCGCACACCCCTGCCCTCTCCCTACCTGGAACACGAGGACACCCATGTGGGAAACGGCCAGGTTAATTTTGGCCCCCTCCCTGTCAGAAGCGGCGTGAAAACGGATGCCATACATTTCCAACTTTCGGGCAATTTCGAGCACCTGGAAATCCGACTCAGCAGGCGTCTGGCCCCTATGACAAAGGACGGCATGATCACAGCACTGAAAACAACTTGATTTCTAAAAGAGCCAAGGTGTGTAACAAAACTGATCAGGAAAACAAAGCAGAATGAAACAAACCTACACAGGAGGCTTTTTTAGAGAATGGATTGCTTTTGTGAGTGTATTTACCCACTAGAAGTGCAGCAGAGCACACACAGGCCAAAGAAACTGTCCATTTCCTTTTATCCTGTGATCCACTTCCTGATGGGTAGAATGTTTTCTTTGTATGCACAAAATGAGCTGAGGTGCTCAGCCTTGTAATTTGTTCTTAATACTGAGGAGGTGACATGCAAACACTCTACGCAGAGACAGGTACGAAACGCAGGGAAACCACAGATAACACCGGTATCTCATGAAACCCATTTCATACTTAAAAAAACCATTTTCGTAATGTACAATTCTAACCGAGAGAGTATACTTTTATAAGGATAAAATTATGAAACGGAATAAAACCATGTTTCCCAAGTGCACAGTCCACAGTCCTGCTCCCAGGGCAGTGACCTGGGCAGGGCCCATGGCCCATGTCACACTGACCAGCCTCCAGGAGGCTGCCGCTCAGGGAGGGCACAGCTGGGCGAAGGGGACAGACAGGGTCCTGGTTAGGAGAACCCCTACACAAGGCCTGAGCCCTGCATGTGGGGTTCTCCATCAACAACCCTTCCTCTCACTCCCACATGTCTGAGCTTCTGGATCTTTAAGGAACAGCCCTTCCCACAGTTTCTGTTCTTAGACTAAAGCTTCTGTTCTCTGAGTCTGATATGGACACCCGACTATCAGCTTATATTTGATAAATCATCATCAAGCAGGAACACCCAGGGTGTGACAACCGTTTTCCATGGCGTCCCAATGCTTCTGTTTTGGAACAGGGCACTGGGCAGAAGCTGGAGGAGTTCTGAGGGGAGGCTAGGGTTAGGGATGCTAAGGGAGATTCTGGTAAGGGCTAAGAAGGAAAAGAGAGCAGAGAAAAAGCCTTTCTTCTCAGAGAAGCCCTAAGCCTTCGTGAACAAAACTTGGTAGACACGAGGGTGGTAAAGATCATTCTGGCGAGGTCTCAGAAGTGAGGAATATGTCATTGGAAGTAGGAGAAAAGGCAATCCTTTTTATAAAGTGGCCCAACACCTGGCTGAGTTACATTCGTGTCCTAGTGTTTTGTGGAGAGCCTGATGCAGGCGCGATCTCAAGAACAATGAGATCATGACCTGAGCCGAAATCGAGTGGGAGGCTTAACTGAGCAAGCCCTCCTGGCACCCGTGGCCGAAGAGATTTCTAAGCAAAGTGATGAAGGTATGGCTGGGCTCCTCTGACTGCTGATAGCAATGCAGGAGGAGAGAGATGCCCGAGACATGGAAGTTTAAGCAAAAAGGAAGCAGAATTTTAAGACGTGGAAAGTGCTCAGCCTGCCCATATTGCAGAAAACAAGAACACCGAGGTGTGGCTAAGAGGCTGAGCAGGAGGTCAGTATGGACCGGCCACCGTAATGGAAATCAGGACAGGGGAAGGAGGATCCCAAAGGCAGTCTGGATCAGGGCTGCCTCTCCCATCACAGGCCACGGTGGAAGAGTGTGGGGGTTGGGAACACAACTGGCCCTTGCTCAGGTTTCTAAGGCCAGGGCTGCCTGGAGCCGCAGGAGGGTATACTTGAGGAGTATGGTAGGCCTGGAGGGCAGGGCACAGAGCCAAAGAGGATTATTCCTGAGCCTTAAGGTTTATGTCATTTGCTCCACTAGGTTCTGGACTTGCCTGAGACCCGTCACCCTTTTCTTCCTTCTAGTCCCTCCCTTTGGAAGGGGAATGTGCACCCTGCGCCTATCCCCTACCACAGTACTTTGGTTTTACAGCTAGAGGAGACTGTGCCTCAGGCAAACCATACCTGGAGTCTCAGCCAGATCTCATCAAGATGAGATTCAGGTAAGGCCATGGAATCAGAGGATTTAGTGTTGGTGTTAGAGCAGTGAAGGCTTTTGGGCTGTTGGGGTGGAATGAATGTACTTTGCATGTGAGAAGGACATGAACTGTGGAGGGTGGAACGTTCCAGAGTGAATGTGTGTGTCCTCCAAAATTCAGATGCTTCAGCCTAACCTCTGGGGTGATGGTATTTGGAGGGGGGTCTTTGGGAGGGCCTGGGTGGGGGATTCACGAGTAAGAATGCCCTAACAGAAGCTCCGGGGAGCTCTTAGCCCCTCCCGCCCCATGAGGATGTGCGAGAAGATGCCATCCGTGTCGCAGGAAGCAGGCCCTCACCACACCCGAATCTACCAGTGCCTCCATGTCTGACCCCCAACTCCAGAAGTGTGGGAAATCACAGTCTGTGGTCCCCAAGCTGCCTGGCTCGGGGTGTTCTGTTATAGCAGCCGCGAAGGACTAAGACACCAGTTTTCAAATGTTTTTCCTTCAATGTCAAAGATCCAAAAGAACTGTGATAAAAGTAAAAAAACCACTCCTTCAATATCCTCTTGAAGGGTGATTACAAGGGTGTTTCCAGTGGGTCGAGGAAGATAATTATAAATAACTATGTAAGAACTAGATCTTGATTAAAATGAAAGTACTACATCGTCTCTAAAAATCCTACATAAAAAATGATTAAAAGAAATAAAAGTGCAGTAAATATCTGATGACCGTGGAGGACAAAGTTAGTGCATCAGAACCACGAGAGGGGGCACCTGGCTGGCTCAGAGGAGTGTGCAACTCTTGACCTTAGGGTTATGAGTTCGAATCCCACCTTGCATGTAGAGATCACTGAACAATAGATATCTTAATGTTTATTTTTGAGAGAGAGAGAGAGAGAGCGAGCAAGCATGTGCGCAAGAGAGTGGGGGAGGGGCAGAGAGAGAGGGAGATACAGAATCTGAAGCAGGATCCAGGCTCCAAGCTGTCAGCACAGAGCCCGATGCAGGGCTCCAACCCAGGACCCGAACCATGAGATTATGAATTGAGCCAAAGTTGGATGCTTAACCAACTGAGCCACCCACGCGCCCCCTAAATATCTGACAGAAAGAAAAGAAAAAGATCATGAGAGCCAAGAGACAGCTGAGCTCAGGGATGGCGGCACTCTGTTGGAAAGAACCCAGGTTTAGTCCTGTGTCAAGCACATCACCTGATTTCTCTTTAACTGGCTTTCACGAATTTTTAAAGCAGCCACCTTGAGACACACCCCTAAGACGCACAAACACGCACACACGTGCAAGCTCATGAACATGTGAGCACAGGCGCCCTCCCACGCGGCTCTCAAAGTGACTGCTCATAGACCTGCACCATTCCATCACCTGACACACATGCCTGTGTCCACACTCGCCGGGCCCGGTGGGGAGCCTCAACCCTTTCCTGATGTACCCGTCCCTCAGAGCCTGAGACCCCCACACACCCTGCCTTGTTCTCATGGCCTCTGGCGGAGCCCCCTTCTCACTCCTCCCTTCAAGGCCAGTCTTCAGGAGGCTGTCCTGGGCCCTGCTCTCCCATCTGTGTCTACCCTCTCTTCCCTGGATGACCTGCACAGCTTGATGTGCCCTACGTGTTGACAACACTCTGCCCGCATCCCAGACCCATCCACCTGCTGGCACCGATGCCTTGGTGGGACCCTTGACCCTGTAGTGCCCCACGCCAACTCCAGGAACAAATCCCAAACAGGCGATCATCTCCCTGGGGACTGGCGCTGGGAGATGACCCTTTGTTCCTCTGCCCCAGTGTGCTGAACCCTGACACTGAGAGGTGCCCCCAACCGTGCACCGAGAGGGGGCTGGGGCCTTTGCTTGGTCTTACCATGACAGTGGAGTCACACAGCCTCCTGTGAGCAGTGGGCACTATTACTTGCCCCACCAGCCAAGCCAGAAATTCAGGTGCAACTGCGGGCACCATGCTGGGTCTCCTGGACCCTCCCAGGCTGCTGCCTTCGCCTGGCACTCCCCCTTCACCAACCCTACGTGGCCAATTCCTTAGAGATGCCTGCTGGCCCAAGCAGCCCGGCCACTCACCCTTCTCACCCTGGCCACTCTGTCTGCCCTCAGCTTGCACACCATAGTGCACAACAATATACTCGTGTATCCAGTGCCCGTCCCGATGCCAGGCACACAAGAGGAGCTCCCCAAGTGCCGTGAGTGGCCAAATGCATGAGAAGCACACAGTCTTGCCGGGGTAAGGTCCTCCAGGTGAGCATCTTGGTCCACCTTCTCAAGGGCAAGGCTTCTCTCCTGTCCACTCTCCTTTTGGGGAGTTCAATATCACAGCTAACTCCCCCCAGGCCCTCGGCCCTGGCCCTCCCTCCTGCACCTCTCTTCAACCTGAAAGGACGTACCAGCGTCAAGTCAGTCAAAGAGCAGGCCCGCCAGCCCTACCCCACCTCACAGGAGGGCCACCTGCTGCTCGGCGGGCTACCACACGCTTCTCACCATTAAGAGTGTCATGCATGTGGTGGGACCCCATGGCTGCCCCTGACGCTCTGCCCTCTGGTCACTCTTACCAGGGCCCTGACGTCCCTTCCGGCCTTTCTAAAGCAGTGAGACTGTGCCCTCCCAGGGAGTGGACGGCGGTCACTTTAGTCAGCCTTGCAGAAGCCTTAGTGGTGGCTCCCGTTACTTAAATACACTATTTCATCATTATAGTGTAGGGACAGGGTGCCAGCAGCTGACTCTGACAGACTCACGTGTGCTTCCGGTGGAATTCTAGAATCTTCTCAAGAGAACGCTCCTGACTGGGTAGGTACTCATTCACTTTAAGGTGCTCTCGATCCAGGGTTTCATCATAATCTCCTATTTCAGCTGAAGTGAGAGAACAACAGTCAGTAATTCTAATTCTCAAATAAAGAAAAATACAAGCATTTGTACATGCAAATGCATGAATTAAAAGAAAAAAATTATCCTAAATCTGTAATAAAAGAATATATAAATATTTTTATTTTATGAACAAGATTTTGTATTTTACTTTCCCACACATCTTAAGCTACTAAAGGCAAATATAAAGGCAGGTAAAGAAGTTTTTTCCTGAGTTTTGAAGAACAAAGATGCTGGTGAGTGACCCCAGGGAGGATGACACTCAGTCGCCAGTTTATCCTGAGTTTTCTGTGTTTTAAACCTCGCTTTATTTGTCTGTAGTCTCAAGACTGTTGTGACCAGGAATATGTATCTTGTTTGTTTCAGGACAATTTTGAAATCATTTTATTTTTTATTTTATTATTATTAATTTATTTACTTATTTTATTTATTTTAAATCATTTTTTCCTTCAGGGCCTCTCAAATTCTTGAGGAACAATGTCTCTTTCTAATTTCATGAAGCTTGAGAGGCCACTAATGTTTCAAGAATTGTAGTTAAAGCCCAATAATCTTAAACAATATACATCTTTTTGCTTTGAGACCATCTCAAGTTCACAGAAACGTCGCTTGCACTGTGCCACACTTGAGGGTGTGCTGTGTCCACATAAGACACAGCCGCCCATGAGCAGGGCACAGCCCCCAAGCAGGCGGGCCCCGGGTCTGCTGCGGTATCCGAGCCTCAGACCCCACCGTGCTGTCAGCAGCTGCTCTGTCATGTCTCCTACAGCCAGACGTCCTGGCTCAGAGTCATGCTGCAGCGGGTGGCCCTGTCTCTGCAGGTTCCCGCAGTGGACGCAGCGCATGTCCAAGGGCAGGGCGACAGCTCGACAGGTTATCACACCACATTGGCACCGGAAAGCCAGCTGTCTCTCTGAGAAGACCTCAAACCCAATAAAAAACAACGAAGTCACTTTGAAAACTTATATCAACAAGTGACAGCAAGGCCCCTAGTGATGAAATTTGCTATTTGTACAAGGTGTGTGTGGGGGAGGGGAGGGGACCTGGCAAACCACAAATTAACCCCTGTACTTAGCCGTTCCTATGATCCCCCACACTTTCTACATTCTACTTTCTGTGCTCAAATTTCAGAAACATCACTTCTGTGTCAGGGACTCTAGTCCAGAAGCAGCATTTCCTTCGTCCTACCCTGTCGGGGGGGGGGGGGGGGGGGGGGGGGGGGGGGGGCTTGTAAAGCCCCAGCAAGACACACACCCGTTTTTCGGAACCTCTTCCTACAATATAAATTTTCCCGCTCTTCTGAGCTACCTCTTGCTGTGTGACATATTGAGAAATGTGTTCTTTTCCCTCAGGGTTTGATGACTGACTTATCACCAGAGGGGCTGTGACGGTCACCCCAGGGAGGTCTCTTTCCAGGGGTGCTGAGGGTCAGGGCTGCCACTTGGCTCCCAGACGCAAGACATTTACGGGGAAAATGCGGGAAGACACAAAGGAGAGATGTTCGGAAAGGATTCGTGTGGCTGCAGCTCTTGGCCTGGAGCCTTCCTTTCTTGGTGGAGACTGTCTGCCTCAAGGACTTCCACTCTGTAGATGTTAATCTTCAGCTTATTGGAGAAAATACTCAAATCAAAGGCCTGTTCTTTCATCACATTCATTAACTGTGCAGGTACATCAGGTGCTGGCGGTCCTGAGGGCCGTGCACCTAGGACACCGTATGCGCCTCCGCCCGCGGCTGGGGACACTAACACTGCAGAAGGTGGGATGCCAGAAGGGCCGCCGTGGTGTCCGCACAGGGCAGACGCTCCTCCAGGAGGTCTCTCTTAAGTTGCAAGGCAAACAAGTACCTAGAAGGGAGTTCAAACAGCACAAATGTCAGCTCCGAAGGCTCTAGAGCAGACCCCCCGCATCTCCGTCGCAGGACAGCACCCGTAAACAGCGGTGACCAGGGACACCAGAGCAGACAGTGACAAAGAGGCGAAGTCGCAGGCGGCAGCTCCGTGGGCAGAGTCACCGCACACACGAGAGCACTCAGATGCTCGCCTCCCGGACCCTACCGCACCTTTAAGGGCAAGCTCACAAGTTCAGGTCACTTCTGTCACACACACAACTGCACTTAATGGCTCTGTTGTGAAAGAATCAGCAACATCCAATTCAGACAGAGCTTAAAATGTGGCTATGGAAGTTTGAGACAGATCGATGATATTCAGCCTTGGCTAGGATCTGAGAAACAGGCACTCCTGAAAGTAGCTAGAGAAGGCAGTATTAATATGCTCATATGCACATTTATTCCACCGACAAATAATCACTGAGCTTGTACCATGTTCCAGGTACTATTTCTGGAGCTGGAGCTACGATGGACAAGACAAACTCTCTCTGCCCTTGCTGCCATTTATACCTGAGTGAGCTGTTAAAATTTACTGTATTCTCTTAAATTTTAAATGTGGCTACCCTTTAACTTAGCAATTTCAGTTTTATGAAACTTTTCAGGAGAGATATTTTCTAGAGCTTACAAAGATGTGTGGGCAAGGCTGTTTGTTTGCAGCAATATAGCAAAGAAAAATTGGAAATGATCTAAGTATGCACTAATATAAGAATAATTTAGTAAAGCAGATACAGGCACATGCACTATACGCACAAAGACGGACACGTGGATAACAAAACAAGACCAAACAAGCCATCCAGCCCATAGTTCTGGGCGCATAGTGTGATACGGCTTTGTAAATTACCATTTCTTTAAAGACCTGGCTCCATTTATACATTTGCTGTGAATTCGTCTGGAAGACACTCCTCAAGTGTAACTACTTCTGGGGACAGCGCAGTGGGCAGGGAGTGAAGGGGAACATTTGCTTTTTATTCCATGTAGCTGTATTCTGAAGATTTTCTTCTTTTATAATAAACTGCCTTTTTTTTTTTTAATAAATAAAAGAAGCACCTTCTGCATAAAGTTGGCTTGGACCCAGTTAGGTAACACCTTCCGTTACCTGTTATTCCCTCAGAGGACTTTTTTGGGAAACGCCAGGTACTTAATATGCTAAGAAGATGAGCTCTGTATTCACTCATAACAACACTTTTTGCTGCCCTTGGGGTTGTTTCCTTACCCACAAAGTGAGCGGCTGGGCTAATGGGATCTCTACATCTCCCTGCAGCTGACAACCTGGGATTCTGTGATGTAAGAACCTTCTAAAGAGAGATTCATAAGATGCCCATGATGCAGGTATAAATACATTTTTTTGCTCAGAAAGGCTGGTACCACCACAATGATATCACAGTTCTCTTTTATCTTATATCTGATCTTGGGTTTTGAATTGGTACATAAAACACAAGGAAAATAAATTCCATAATCTGTGGCCAGATGAAGCAACTGTAAACATTTTCTTCAAATCATTTCTACGAAGAATCAATCTCGAATTCGAGAGAGTGGTAACAAAAGAAATCACCTAAAATACTTCTGCTCATATATTCATAAGGACTCTCAAAGTCAACACTTCTCCCACTTGAGAGTATTTTGGGCATACGGGCTAGGCTCCTGACAACTTTATGCACATGCGTAAATCTGTGTCAGCAGGAGGCTATCAGTTCAACAGCACACTAACACGTGTTAGTCCCCCCACCTTTGTCCCCAGTTTGCACTATAAACACTCTTCCAAGCTCCGCTGGCATTTGTGTTTGTGCAAGAGTTAAATGCTTCTTTTAATACTAGACACTGACCACACCTTTTATGTGTATACTGTTCACCTTTTAGGTGAATGAAGATGTATTCGTTCATTCTTTGAATAGAGCCTGAGCACTTGATGAGCCAGGCGCTGCTGGAGAGACAGGTGAATTCTAGATCCCGCTGACAGCAGCTGTGGCTTAGTAGGGGCTCTTTACCTTGTATATTCTTCCTGCAACTGACCCGGATCAGGTGGGAAAAATTTGACTGCTAGACGAAGCAATGCGTTCTTTGGCCCTATGAAAAGAAACATTTTAAACTTCACAAATATTAGGTCAATCCCACTATTTTTTGAGATCTTTGTACACTTTAGTGAAAGAAAAATGTCACCATCGCTAACTATACTGAACCAGAACAATATGACTGCTGTAAAGAAAAAGCACAAGGTATTATTAGCTCATCTGAGTATCTTAGCTTTACTGAAATTTTACAGTAACACACCCATGTAATTTTCACCAAAAAGGAAAGAGGAGCTGTTTCGCTAAATGTGATGATGCCCCACACGGCCTGACGTCACCAGTGACTGGTGAAGCTACTGGTGCATGCCCTTCTCTCCCATTCGGGACTAAAAACGTTGCAGGTGAATCTGGACCCCTAGAAAGGACCCTGTGCGTTACATAATTATTAAGAGGCATCACTATGTGCCTCAATTTAACAAATTTAATAGAGACTGACAAAAATAATGTTTAAAATTACAAAATAGTATGAACTATTTTATTAAAAATGTAAACTGTGTGTCAACTATACTCAGAAAAAAAACATCAAAAAAAAAATTTTAAAAACTGTTTAAAAAAAAAAGGGGGGTGCCTGAGTGGCTCAGTCGGTTGAGCATCTAACTCTTGATTTGGGCTTGGGTCACGACCACAGGGTCATGGGATCGAGCCCTGTGTTGGGCTCTGTGTGGAGCATGGAGCCTGCTTAAGATTCTCTCCTTCTCTCTCTACCCCTCTCCCCAGTCATGCATGTTCTCTCTAGAAAAAAAAATTGTTAAAAAAAAATTACAAATGCTAATTGAACCTCAATGTCTTTTCATAACTCAGAGAGAAACTGCCTTCTTATTTTTTTGTTTAAATTCAAATTAGTTAACATACAATGTAGTACTGGTTTCCAGAGCAGAACCCAGTGATTCATCACTTACATATGACACCCAGTGCTCGTCACAAGTGCCCTCCTTAATACCCGTCCCCCACCCACTTCCCTCCATCAGCCCTCAGTTTGTTCTCTGTCATTAAGAGTCTCTTGTGGTTTGTTTCCCCTCTCTCCTTTCCCTTCCCATATGTTCATCTGTCTTGTTTCTTAAATTCCACATATGAATGAAATTGTACGATATTTGTCTTTGCATATTGGTCCAAAATTAAAGTGCTATCAAAGAACATATCCTGTTACTGCCACACCTGAGAATGAAGTGAGTTACATTACTGCCCACCCCCAGCTAACATAGGATAAGACTAAGTAGTGAAATGACTTTCAAGTACTGTTGTCGATCACCTTGCTGCTATCCAGTGACAATGAACATCTGAACATACCTTCAATTTGAACAGTCAAGAACGAAAGCATCTAAAATGAACAGAATTTTTAAAGACTTTAAAAAAAGGACTTACTCCGTATTTGCCTAGTGATGGGCTTCATAGGTTCGAGCCAAATCTAAAGAGAATTTAAGAAAAGAGATCAGATGTGTTCAATGATTTCTCTATTTAATAAGTATGTTACAAAATACAGAACTGTTTATAATTAGGAGAGATATTTAAGGCAGGCCTATTTTGGTTCTCCGCTCACACACCAGTCTAATGCTGATAAAACACCAGGGAGTGGGGTGTCTGGGTGGCTCAGTCAGTTGAATGTCTGACTTCAGCCTGGGTCATGATCTCACGGTCTGTGAGTTCGAGCCCTGTGTTGGGCTCTGTGCTGACAGCTCAGAGCCTGGAATCTGCTTTGGATTCTGTGTCTCCAACTCTCTCTGCCTCTCTCCTGCTAAATCTCTCTCTCTCTCTCTCTCTCTCAAAAATAAATAAATATTAAAAAAAAAAAAAAGACACCTGGGAGAGGTATAGGAGCACCTGCTTCGAGAAGTGTGGCAGGAGGCCAAGATGCCACACTGTATGGGACCCCACCACGAGGCCACAGCACGCTGCTGTTGCTATGCACAGAACAGGTACCAATAATTATTTTGGGGGGGGGGGCATCTGTTAAGGCCAAACAACTATGTGGTGCATGCTGCACTTGTAAACAACAATGGCAAGAACACCACTACACGAAGGGGTGGATGGAACTCTAACGTTGACATACTTATTGAACGAACAGGTTGATTTGGGGTTTTAAAACAGTCCCACCTGTAAATATCAAAGCTCCACACTTTTTAAGGCTCATCTATCAAGTAACAAAAAGGATAAACAATTTAGTAGCACAGTTTGCTAAAAATGATCACCGAACAGATGTACTAGAGGGAGTTTCTGGATCTCCTTGGCACACGTACTGGCAGGGAGAACAAATTCAGGGAGGATGGGAACTCAGCCTAGCTAACAGGCACGTGTACTCCGTATTCCAACGGGACAGCCCCAGTAACAGCCCTGTGATCAGGTTCCGTGCTCCCATTGCTGCCACAGGTCCTCCGAGGCTTGCCATGGCCACGTGCATCGCCAGCACCCACCACGTACCCACAGCCCGTCTGCAAGAGTGAGGCAAGAGCACGTACCCAGTAGGCCCGGGGGTGCTGAAACTCCAGCCCGAAGTAGTCACACTCCGTCAGATTCAGGCGCCTCCACACCTGAGTCAGCAGCGTCTGGCCATCGCGCTTAGGCTGTGAGAGGCAGGGAGGGGAGCACAGGAGAATGAGGTGCCTTCCAACAACCCGGGTTCATGAAACAGCGTGGCAAGATGTGGCTTCCGCACGTAAAATGCATCCTCCTAACTCCTTGCTTCACTCTGCCTTCTTCTAAGGCTCTTAGTGCTCAGAAACGGACACCAAAGTGAAGCCAGACAACCCCTTCACTCTTACCTTCTCAGGTGCATCTTTAGCTATTTTTCTTGGCAACGTTAGATGACAGAACCCATTCTTAGCCTCACTGAACACTTTATCAACTTGGTATTCACTACGGAGGTGGGTCTCATACTCCATGTTTGCCCGAGACCCCAGTGAATGCTTGATTATTTGGTAATAACATTAGCGAGGAGACCTCGCACTGCTCACACTAGAGGTGGGACGATCGGCCCTCCATTCAGAAGAAACGTGAAGTTAGCTCCCTGGTCTGCACTGGCCACAAAAATAAACTCCTATGGACTAAAGAACAGAACAAAGCAGGAAAATATTTCTCCAGTTTTGGGGTTAAGTAAAGTGTTCCTAAATACCACACAAAGACAGACAGACTCGATTAATTAAAGGTGAAAAACTTCTGAACAGAGAAACGGCGAACAAAGTTACCATCCAGAATCACACTAAAACAAGTGATTTCTCTCTCACATTGCTCTCATGAATTGGGTAAAGAAATACAAATGGCTTTTAGGCACATAGAAACGTACTCAAGCCCTCTAATAATGAAATAAAATAGTGAGACACCACTTCTTGTCCATCTCAGAGGACTGGGAGCATGGGGTAGTGCGGCTGGGGGAAGGCAGCCGTGTCCGTGCACTACTGGGAGAACTCCAGTTCGTCCCATCCTCCGGGAGAATCTGAAAACACCTCCAAAACTTAAAGTGTACACATACACCTTTGCTCCAGCAATTCCCCTTCTAGAACTTTCTCCTACAGATATTCTCACACAACTGCACAGAGCTAAAGACGCAAGGACAAACCCAACAGAGAACTGATGACACGAACAACGGTACCTCCGTTGTCACAGCCCTTAGGACTCTGCACCAGCGTGGAATGAAGTCCAAGACTACAGTTCAGTCATGAAGAAAAAAGGGTTCCCTTCCTATCCAGTGTACATGACAGAAGCCCGCTTCATAAAATGTGCATGCTGCATTTACCTTAACTGAAGCAAGTCTGGAAGGCTCCATCCTGAGAGGAAATCACCATTCTGGACTGAATGGGGGTGGGGGACAGGGACCAGGGCCTTCACTTTTACCTTATTTTCTAACTTCCGCGATGTCTCAGTTTTCATCAGCGGGCATGTCATTTTCTCACTGCAAAGATAACATCTGCAGGGGGAGGAGAGGCAAACCTCCATGGCTCCCCAGGACGGTAGTTTCCGTGGGTTTAAACACTGGACTTTCTTACTGTGTGCCCAAGAAGTGGCTGTGCTCCTAATGTGAGCACTCTTTTCTCTTTTTTTTTTTTAACGTTTTATTTATTTTTGAGACAGGGAGAGACAGAGCATGAACAGGAGAGGGTCAGAGAGAGAGGGAGACACAGAATCTGAAACAGGCTCCAGGTTCTGAGCAGTCAGCACAGAGCCCGACGCGGGGCTTGAACTCACAGACAGTGAGATCGTGACCTGAGACGAAGTCGGACGCTTAACTGACTGAGCCACCCAGGTGCCCCTCTTTTCTCTTTTTTTAAGTTTATTTTGAGAGAAAGAGAAAGAGAGCGCAAGTGGGGGAGGGGCCGAGAGAGACGGGGAGAGAGAATCCTAAGCAGGCTCTGTGCAGAGCCTGATGCAGGGGCTCGAACTCACGAACCGTGGGATCATGACCTGAGCCGAAATCAAGAGTCAGCAGCTGAACCGCCTGAGCCCCACAGACGCCTGTAAAGCGAGCATTCTTATGGGAAGACGGAAATAGCCGCCCTCTGTGGTGACAAAGCGGCATGCGGCGAGTCACAGCCGCAAAGGGATGCAGACAACGCCATCCGTAGAGAAGGGAAGAGCAAATGTTCTGGACGAAGTACCAGAAGATCACGTCTGACAAGGATCACGGTGAGGGCTCGAGTGCCGGCCGTGCTGTTGGGAGAACGCACCCACAACAGGCTCTGCAGCCTGACGTGCGGCCCAATCCCCTCAGCGGTGAGCTGGTCAGAAATCATGGGGTCTGCTGCAACTCCTCTCACGCTCAGCACTCCTCCCCAGGAAGCTCTCCCACAGCTGTGTCCCCTCCCCCAGGACTGCAGGGCTGTTGCGGGGTGGGGGGCTCCACAGGAGGACGAGGAAGGCCCCAAAGGTGTGTGCGCATGGGCCCCACAAGGCCTGGCCTTGCCCATTCGGGGGCGACTTGGACACCTGGCTGCTCCCTCACAGGGAGACCCCCTCTCCCTCTGGCGGCCTCGAGCAGACCCTTGAGAACCTGGTGAGTTAGTTGCCTCGTGGGGAAGGTCCCCTTAATTGCGTTTGGCTCCACATAACCGCCACGTCACTTGGCGCTTCTCTCCAGCACGGTGCTTATGGCGCTGTCGTTCCCACATTTACTTGTTTGGGTGCATTCCTACTACTACAGGGTCAGAGACTGCATCATCCATCTTGAATCTCGAGGCCCAGCAATGTGGCAGATGCGCCACTGACAGGCCCAGAACGTCCACAACTGCTCTGCTGCTCCAGTCCTCCCCTCTCCCTTCTCAACTGCCTGGTCACCCCACGCGGTAAGGGGCGATGGTGGGATTAACAGCCCCATCCAAGCCCTCCACCCACGGGCAGTGAAGCCCTGGCTTGTCCCAGGAGGCCTGCCGAACCGAGGGATGCCAACATGTATCAAGTGTGCAGACACACAGGCACACATCCATGATGCACCAGCGTCCAAATCCAGAACAGGGTTTTTAAATCTGGGCATAAAACTACACTTCATTACACAGGTTTCTGTACTAATGTACACGCATATACATACATATGTATGGACACACACATGGATACACATATATCCATACACACATATGCATACGTGTATATATATGTGTGTTTAACTCCTGTATTGGAGTAAATTTTACCAAAGTAAAAAAGCTTTTGCAAGTCAACTATCCTATGTTCAGCAAAAAAATAATAAGTAATAATTTTAATGTTGGGACACCTGGGGGTGGCTCAGTCGGTTAAACGTCCAACTTCAGCTCCGGTCATGATCTCAGGTCCGTGAGTTCAAGCCCCGTGTCAGGCTCTGTGCTGACAGCTCAGAGCCTGGAGCCTGCTTTGCATTCTATGTCTCCCTCTCTCTATGCCTCTCCCCTGTGCTCTCTCTCTCTTTTTT